AGAAAGAGAGAAAGAGAGCGAGAGAGAGAAGCGAGAGAGAGAGAGGAGAGAGAGAGAGAGAGAGAGAGAGAGAGAGAGAGAGAGAGAGAGAGAGAGAGAGAGAGAGAGAGAGAGAGAGAGAGAGAGAGAGAGAGAGAGAGAGAGACTGGACGTCAAAATAATAGATTTAAGGGACTGGACTGCCCTTTCTCGGCATTTTCTATTATTCGTCCAAATGTCAGTGATCGTTGTATGGGGAATAAGGGAGAGAAAAGGGAGAAATGAATAGGTGTAAGGGAGAAAGGAAGAGAAAGAAGAGAGAGAGAGATGGAGATGGAGAGAAGGGAAGAAAATGAATAGGTGTAAGGGAGAAAGGAAGAGAAAGAAGAAGAGAGAGAGATGGATGGAGAGAAAGGGAGAAATGAATAGGTGTAAGGGAGAAAGGAAGAGAAAGAAGAGAGAGAGATGGAGATGGAGAGAAAGAGAGAATGAGAGAGAGAGAATGAGAGAAGGAGAGAGAGAGAGAGAGAGAGAGAGAGAGAGAGAGAGAGAGAGAGAGAGAGAGAGAGAGAGAGAGAGAGAGAGAGAGAAGAGAGAGAGAGAGAGAGAGAGAAAGAGATTTATACATATATATATATATATATATATATATATATATATATATAATATAACATATATAATATATATATATATATATACATATATATATAATATATATAATATATAATATATATATATATTATATAAGTATACATTTATATCTAGGAGAGAAAAGGCGCGGCCAGAGGGGCGTGCGGAGGCGCCCGTGCAGCCGGACCTGGCCAGCCCCGCGCCGCCGCGTCCCTTCGCCGTTCATCGCCTTGACAGCCGATATTAGGGAACACCCCCCCTCCCCCCCACATACTCGTTCCTTGCCCTGCTCCTTCCCCCTTTCTTGTCTATTTGCTCTTCGCTCTCTATTTATTCCCATTCCTCGACTCCGTTTTTTCCAACTTTCCTCTATCTTCTTTACCTCCTCGTTCTTCTTGCTTTCTCCTGTTCTCCTTCCTCTCCTTCCCTCCTCCTGACCCTTGCCAAAAAGGATGCGTAGGTGACTTGCATTTTTTTCTGCAATATACCCCCCAGCTCTCCCCTCCCCCCTTCCCCTCCCTCTTCCCTCCTCCCCTCCTCGCCCTTCCCCCTCCTCCCCCCCTCCCCCCTCCCCCTCCCCTCCTCGCCCCTTCCCCCTACCCTCCTCCCTCTTCCCTCCTTCCCCCTCCTCACCCCCCCCTCGCCCCTTCCCTTCGCTTTCCCTCGCCCCTTCCCCCTTCCCCCTTCCCCCTTCCCCCCCCTACGCCCACCCTGCACCACGGCGCCCACGCCCATGCAGCCAATATCAATTAAATTCGCCGACATTTCAAGTCCCTCGATTCTTTTGTTTTCACTTCGCGGAGAAATTCCCGCCAAAATCCTCTTTCGTTCGTGCGGAGACGAGTCAATTTCTCTAACGATTGTTGTAGTTTTTTTCGGTACTTGTTGTTCTTGGAGTTTCTCTTCTTTTCGTCGTTCTTGAATTTGCTTTAAGATAGATGTGTGGACTGAAGCTGTGTGTGTGCGTGTGCGTGTGCGTGTGTGTGTTGTGTGTGTGTCTGTGTGTGTGTGTGTGTGTGTGTGTGTGGTGTGTGTGTGTTGTGTGTGTGTGTGTGTGTGTGTGTGGTGTGTGTGTGTGTGTGTGTGGTGTTGTGGTGTGTGTGTGTGTGCGTGCGTGCGTGCGTGCGTGCGTGCGTGCGTGCGTGCGTGCGTGCTTGCGTGTGCGTATGAGTGCATATATGTGTATGATGTGTATGTGTGTGTGCGTGTATGTATATATACACGCATATGTAAATATACTTCCATGAACGCACCGCAACAAGCTACAGAACAAAGAACAAAACCAGAAAATATATCACCCTGAGCCATCCGCCTATGAATAAATTATCGACAGGCATCGATAATTCCATCACGGCGAGAGCGTCTTCGGCGGACATGGAGGCATCGTTAACCTTCTTCATCTCCTCCTCCTTCTTCTCCTTCGGCCGCCAGATCGAATTAGTAAGCGGGAAGCGAAGGTCGTGGTAATGATCTCGGCGCCACAAATCATTTAAAAAAGAAAAAAACAAGGGGGGAGGGGAGAGAGAGAGAGTAAAAAAAGGAACGAGTTTGTGGGATGCATAATTACACCTCAGCGCTTCGGGTAACTTTCTAACGTCCCTTAAAACCTTGAGAGTATTTACGAATCTTCCCTTTTTTTATCACTATCATCGCTATTATCATAATCATTATCCGTGTTCTCTATTCTACCATAAGAGAGGAATCGCTGTTATTACAATCATTATGCTATCCTTTTTTTATCATAAGAGGAAGGTTTAAAATCTGGAGGATGTGCTGTGGACGCGAATTCCCGGATGTAAACAAAAGAAACACGCCTTGCGCCCGCCAAGTTCTAGGTCAGGGTTGCGTTCCGTAGTATTATAATGTACTTTAATGTCTCCCAAAGCGCGTCCTTTGTTAGATCTGTGACTATTATCTCCTTAATTGATGGCGAAGATAGATGATTAAAGGGTTAATGACTTGAAAAAAGGGAGAAGGAAGAATAAAAAGAGGAACGGTACAAAGGGACGGATTTAAATATGGCGGCACTTGAGACGGCGCCCTCAATGTGAAGGGAAAAATTTCACTCGTTCTTTATATTTCCGGTTATCGATCACGTTGTCATACGGATGAATAATTCCTCTCTTTGTCTTTATAATCGCTTTGTTTTCTTCATTTCTTTTGATCTCTTAAAGGAAGTGTAGATGATTTTTTCCAGTTCGTTTGTATTAATGATTTGCGAAGCGATTTAGAGATGTCGCAAAAAAGTTAAACCAGTTTGATGGGATTACTCTCATGAATAAACTTTTTTAACTGTCTGCGACGCAAATTTTCTCTTTCTTAAACATTTAGAATATCCTAAATATCGAAATGGGTGCCTTAAACAAAAAAGGAAAAAAATATAATACGATAATAGACTCAAATAACGATATAAATACACATTGATAAAATTACAACAAAGGCGAATAAAGGATAAATAGATAGAAAAATCGATAACCAGACGTGGCCTTTGAACGCCTGTGTTGTCAGGAAAGAGAAAAGAAATATTATCAAAAAAATAATATCAAAGTTACAATTATGAACTCAAACGAATAAGAAATAAATCAAGAACCGAAGATAACGGATGAAAAAGATACATAAATATCGGACACAGCGCCATCAACCATAAAGAAAATACAAAATTAAAGAAGCTATCCTCAACAACGAAATAGATTAAAAATATATATATATTCTCTTAATAAACACAAAATAAACAAAATCGATAAAAAAAAAAAAAAAAAAAAAAAACAATGATTCAATAAACACAAAATAAAGAAACAAAATCGAAATAAAATAAAAAAAATAATTATCTAAATAACTGGAACCGATAGCCGATATTACATCAATCCATCATCTATCCATCTGATACACCTGTCTTCCTATCTATCTATAACACCTACCAATCTATCTATACCTACCAATCTATCTATATCTACCAATCTATCTATATCTACCAATCTATCTATATCTACCCATCTGTCTGTCTATAATAACGGCTTCAGGAGCAGTGTTGACACAGACCCCGTGTGCGTGCTTTTCCACAGTCACTTGTTCCAACAGATCTCCTTCGTGTCTTGGAGAGCTCTTAACGGGTTTTGTTCGGAACTAATGGTCATGGTGCTTTTTTATATATGTATGTATGTAGATAGATAGACAGATAGATAGATCGATAGATAGATAGATATAGATATATTTAAGGAAGAGGGAGCTTGTTCTTTTGTGATCTCTTTTCTTGTTTTCGTGATTTTTTCTTTTGTTTCTTTTTGAAGAGCACTTGGTTCAGCTACAATCCTTGCTGTGAGCAATTATATACAATAAATACAGAGAAATATTATATATATTTTAGACCTTGTACCTTCGTCCCCTTTTTAACGGCCTTGGGTAGCGTTTCCTCTTGCTGGTTTTATTGTTGTTTTTGTTTTGTTTTTGTTTCTCCCCCCTCCCCCCTTTCCGCTTCGCTTCCGGAGGATGTGGTGGCAGAGCGGTCAAGAGGGCGCTTTGAGAAGCTTACTTTCTCCTCCTAAACTCTCTTTTTCGCCTATTTTTACGTTCGCATCCTCTTTCGCGTGTGATTGCTCTTGTTTTTTTTTTTTGGTGTTTTTGTCTCGTTTTTGCATATTTTGGGGGTTTCTTTTAGATACCCTTCTTACGTTTTCTTTATATTGCTGTCTGTCTCCCTCTCCTTTTTTTCTTTAACTTCTTGTTCCTTACAAGACGTCGAAGTTGCATTGACGTCTATATTAACTTACAAAAATCGTCAGTGGAATAAATCAAACAAATAAATAAACAGAGAAATAGCGAATAAAGACGCAGGCTGACTACACGAAGGCTGTTATTGCCGGGTCGCGTTATGGTGCGGCCTGACCTTGTGCAATGGCGAGCTACCGGTGTTTCCTTATTGTCGAGTTACGTTACAGCGCAACGGATCTGGTGAGGATGACTTCGTAACGCTGTAATATTGTCTTGTAATAATATTAACGTTTAAAACAAAACCTAACCTAACCCGCAGTTACGATCTTGTATTTTCTTTTTTTTCGTTTACAATTTTGATGTCGAGTTAGGTTGTCTTTTTTATAATACAAGTTAATACAGATACAGCGTCATACGTAAATAACAGACAAGCAAATACATCGCAGCCGAAATGAGCAAGGAAAGCACTTAATTCCATGACGTTTAAACTTTTAAAAAATCCTTTTCCGGTAAGTGACGAGATGAAAATACAGAAAATACAGAATCAGATCAATCTCCTTCGCGTTTTCTCCTTTAGATCTAACACTAACACCATTTCCCTTTCACAGAACGTCACCATACACACGCCCATACCACACTGTGGGCATGAGTCTACGGGCGTGATAAACCGGCGTACAACTTACCCTTCTCTGGTGAGGGAGTTGGGCGGCAGGAGGATGGCCGAGCGAGCCTCTGGAGTCAGCACCTCGGGCGTGGGCGCTTCCGAGTCCTCTGAGGGAGCTGCGAGGGACGCTGAGGCTGAGGGAGAGAAGGAGGGAGAGGATGTAGAGGGAACAGCAGCATGGCCTTCGGGGGGGGGGGGGCGAGGATGGGGGAGCTGGGAGGGAGTTTGGGCCGTGGGATGTGGCGGGCGGACCCGTAGATTTAGGGTGGTGTGAGGTGTGTGTGTGTATGTTGTGTGTGTGTGTGTGTGTGTGTGTGTGTGTGTGTGTGTGTGTTGTGTGTGTGTGTGTGTGTGTGGTGTGTGTGTGTGTGTGTGTGTTGTGTGTGTGTGTGAGTTGTTATCGCGTGTGTAGGCCGATATCATGCAGGGATAGAGATTCATAAACATTCACAAACATAAACATAATCACATAAGCCTACAAGATAAATATCGCATACACATGACGATTTACGCATTGGCGAACACACAGACCCAAACATACACTTCTCCCTATCCTCCTCACACACAAAACACCCCAACAACACAGCGCCCACACAACACACCCAACAACACAGCGCCCACACACACACCACAAACACCACACACACAATCACAGCGCCCACACACCACACACGGGCGCACATTAATCAAAGCGTCTACACAGCTGACCTCTTTACTGCCAGCTTCCCTGCGGCTGACAACACGGGGTCTACTTCGCCGCTGCCTCTAAGGGCGTGATTTGCACTTTAATCAGACAGGGAACTGCCGAGTGGATTATGGTCGTTTGTCTGCTTATGTGTGTCGTCTGGGTGTGGTGTGTGGTGTGCGTGTGTGTGTGTGTGTGTGTGTGTGTGTGTGTGTGTGTGTGTGTGGTGTGTGTGTGTGTGTGTGTGTGGTGTGTGTGTGTGTGTGTGTGTGTGTGTGTGTGTGTGTGTGTGCAGTGTGTTCGTAGCACTAAGTGACTAATTGATATCACACACACACACACACACACACACACACACACACACACACACACACACACACACACACAGACTTACTTCTAATACTATAAATTCCCATCTTTATACACACCATAACCTCATCCACTTGCTCTGTGGAAATGGCTGCCTTTGTGGACAACACAAGGAAGCCAATAAGCACAAACAACACAACCTCCATTTAAGAAATTCAAAACATTGCACACTAACTTGCAAGACACCTTTTGCCTGAATGCACTAGTTCCGATAAACACAATTGCCATTCCATTCTTGCAATACGCACAACGAATAACGTATCTCTATCATATACAATTCAAAACATTGACGCCGAAAATGATAAATCCACCGCAAGTTTAAAATGGTGTTTTCTTAAACGAAATATTTGAAATGAGCTTTTTGAATCATAGAATATATCACACTTACGACCCACTCGTATTACCAACAGCAAAAAGAGAATACACTCGATAACAAAGCGTTTATAACAGTGAACAAAAGAACACGTGTTTCTGAATGCGAACTTACCTCCCAGAAGGAGCCAGCTGAGTACCAAGGTAACCCGCATATTTTTGGGAATTTGAAACTCTTCAATTCCTATTTTCTCTCCTTTCTTGGCGTTCTTCTATGCTCTCTTTCTCTTCTCTCTTCTTCAAGTCCTCTTTCTTTTCAAGTATTAAAACTTTTGGAGAATCGCAGTAGTAAGAGAACTGTGAAAGACGTTCCTTCTCGGCGCAGGGAGTGATAACGTTCTGACCAACTTCGTGACTTCGACTTTCTCTTATATCTGATGGCTTAGATTTTCCCTTGCCCGAGTTGCCACGTCGCGATTTAAGTGCGGCGATACAGGTAGGTACGCGGGGTTTACAGGTAAGTCCATTTATTTTGTTTCTTTTCTCTCTCTCTTATTATCTCTCCGTTTCTCTTTCTATCCTATCTATGCGCATCGAATTATCAACAATCTTGAACACAATATTAAAGTTTTAAAAAATGAGAATGAAACAACATATCAGGGATCCATTGTGTAAAACAACAACGAAAGATAACGGAACGCTGGATTTTTCGTAAGCTCTTGTTATTGCGTATTTCCCCGTCCGTATCTCCCAAGGAATCGGAAATTGCGGGGATACGAGACTAAACCCGATGTTTCAAGCGGCCGAACCTCATTTTCTGTGCTACCTTCCCGCCATTTTTTCTTTCGTCTTCTTTGTTATTCTCACAGCGAAAAATGAAAGCTTGGTCAAACATTGAGGCCGATGTGGTATTAATGTTTGAAATAAGGGGATTTTACATTCTCCTTTTCATGATGATATATTTCACAGCCAACTTTCCTTGTTATTCTGAGAGTGTAACGACCACGTGGTTAAAAGAGAGAAACCTAAGGGATGAATTTTTAAATTTCGTGTTATTTTATCGTGTGATGTGAAGGATTTTTATGAAAGGCAACAGGTAAAGAAAAAGAAAAGAAAAAAACAGGAAGTTTGTACACCTAATACGCTCAAAAGGCCTTCACATTAACCCATTAAACTGACCTAGAATAAATGTGTCTTAACTTCACCGTTAATTGAGATTTTCCTGACAGGAAAAATATATGAAAACAGGAAGTCCTTTCATTTCACAGAAGTGCAATAGCAGACAATAAACATCTGATAAAACATATTACCTGATTAGCGATTACTAATGTTATCTACAATAAAACAGATTCTGTTCTTTAAAGATATCATTTATTATTATTATCTGTTTATTTGCCTATATTTTATATTCATATATCCTTACATGCTTTTTTTTTTTTTTTTTTTTTTTTTTTTTTTTTTTTTTTTTTTAATAAAGAGGTAGATATAGACTGAAATATAGAAAGGAGGATAGGCAAACAGACGGATAAAGAGAAAAAGAAACAGACAGTCTGGCAATTAGCTCGAAATACAACAAAAGGAATAAAAGAAGAATAGTAACGGAGAAAATGAAGAGAAATACTGAGACAGAAAAATGGACATATAATCCTGGACAAATATAGACAAATAGACACAAATAGTTGAGTGGATGCATAGGTCGACACTTTATATATAGCTGGATAGAAGAGAGAGAGAGAGAGAGAGAGAGAGAGAGAGAAGAGAGAGAGAGAGAGAGAGAGAGAGAGAGAGAGAGAGAGAAGAGAGAGAGAGAGAGAGAGAAGGAGAGAAAAAGAAAGAAAAAAGAAAAAGAACAAAAAGAAGAGATGAAGGAGAAAGAGGAGGAGGAAGGAGAGCGAGAGAAGGGGGAGAGAGATAAATGAGGATAAATCAGTGTAAGAGCATTTGCCAAACTCATTTACCAATTGAGCACCGATTAAAAAAAAAAAAAAAAAGAGAGAAAAGAAGGGACTAATAATAATAACGACAAGAACAACAACAACAATAATAATGATAAGAATAACATTAATAATGATACTCATAATGAATAACAATAATGATGATAAATGAAGGACTAAGAGGAACGGAAAAGAGAACAAGGGACAAGACAATAAACGCGGAAGACAACAGACAAGCGAAAGGAAAACGTATTTTTGACGCATCGTTTTGGCCTGAGGGTTTTCCAGCGCATCGGTGACGTCACCGAGATAGCGCCAATATGCCTCTTTTCTCTCTAATTACGTGCTCTGTTTCCTGTCTCCTTCGTTGTTTATCGGAGCAGATGGATATACCGACCGAGAGGATAAAAGAAAAGGCGATATCGTTAGAGATAGAGAAAGAATTAGGAGATTTAAACGGTATAAAGTTATTGCGCATCGATTGAGTCATTTGTTTTTTTTTCCCGCCACTTTCCTGCCGCCATTTTGCTATGATTATTACGGCTGTCCCTTTTCATCACTTGTGAAGATAATCGCTCGGGATGAGGTCAGGTTAATGAGTGTTTTGCCTCGCGGGGTCAAAAATCCCTCAAGGCTTGGACAGTTTACTTCAGTCCCTCCTCCCTACTCCCCCCCCCTCCCTGTTTCCACTCTCCCGTCTCCCTGTACTCCCCCCCCTCCCCATTAGCCATTCTAACACTCCCTTTCCTGTCCCCCCCCCTCCCCCCCACCAATTAAGTTCTCTTATACTCCTCTCCCTCTCCCTCTTCCCCTCCTCCTCCTCCCTCCCGCCCCCTTCATCTCCCTCTTCCTTCCTCCTCTCTCTCCCCCTCCTCCACCTCCCTCTTCTTCCTCTCATTCTCATCTCGAACTCTCCTTCCCCTTTCTTCCCCTCCCTCCATATCTCCCCTCCTTCCCTCCCTTACCCTCCCTCCCTCTTTCTCCCCCCCTTCCACCGCACCCCCCTTCCCCCTCCCACTACAACCTCCCCAGAATTGCCCCAAATACAGTTGGAATACAATTCTTATAAATGGCTTCGGTTTAAGAATCAGTCTTTGCGTTCCATTCGGTTCATAACGACTTAGGTTTCGTGTTCAGCGCCATCTCGGACGCAGAACCTCTAAATCATGGAAATATAACCCACATTTACGTGATACAAGAGATCTAAATAGTAATAATAATAATGATAAATGAATTAAGTAAATACAGTTAATAAATAAACAAATAGATAAATAATGATAAATGAATTAAGTGAATAAATAAACAAATAGATAAATAATGATAAATGAATTCAGTAAATAAACAAGTGAATAAATAAACAAATAGATATATAATGATAGATGAATTAAGTAAATAAATAAGTGAATAAATAGATAAATAGATAAATAATGAAAAATGAATTAAGTAAATAAATAAGTGAAAAAAATAAAGAGATAAATAATGATAAATGAATTAAGTAAATAAATAAGTGAAAAAAAACAAGTAAATGGATAAGTAATGATAAATGAATTAAGTAAATAGATAAGTGAATAAATAAATAAACAAATAGATAAATAATGATAAATGAATTAAGTAAATAAATAAGTGAAAAAAATAAATAGATAGATAATGATAAATGAATTAAGTAAATAAATACTGAATAAAAATAAATAGATAAATAATATACATGAATTAAGTAATAAATAAGTGAAAAAATAGATAAATAATGATAAATGGATTAAGTAAATAAATAAATAACAAATAATGATAAATGAATTAATAATATAAGTGAATAAATAGATAAATAATGATAAATGAATTAAGTAAATAAATAAGTGTATAAATAAATACATAGATAAATAATGATAAATGAATTAAGTAAATAGATAAGTGAATAAATAAACAAATAGATAAACAATGATAAATTAATTGAGTAAATGAATAAGTGAATAGATAAATAAATAGATAAATAATGATAAATGAATTGAGTAAATGAATAAGTGAATAAATAAATAAATAGATAAATAATGATAAAATTATAAATAGATAAATGATATTGAGTAGTAATGAATAAGTGAATAGATAAATAAATAGATAAATAATGATAAATGAATTGAGTAAATTAATAAGTGATAAATAAACAAATAGATAAACAGATAAATAAATGAATAAAAATGAATTGAATAGATAATAATAAGTGAAATAAGTAAGATAGAAAATAGATAAATAGTGATAAATAAATTAAGTAAATATAAGTGAAAACAAAGTAAATAGATAAATAACGATAAATGAATTAAGTAAATAGATAAGTGAATAAATAAATAAATAAATAAAATGAATTGAGTAGATGGGAATAAATGAATAATGATAAATGAATTGAGTAAATGAATAAGTGAATAAATAAATAAATAAATAAATGATGATAAATGAATTGAGTAAATGAATAAGTGAATAGATAAATAAATAGATAAATAATGATAAATGAATTAAGTAGATAGATAAGTGAATAAATAAATAATAGATAAATAGTGATAAATAAATTAAGTAAATAAATAAGTGAAAAAACAAGTAAATAGATAAATAACGATAAATGAATTAAGTAAATAGATAAGTGAATAAATAAATAAATAAATAAATGATGATAATGAAATTGAGTAGATGTAATAAAGTGAATAAATAATAAAATTAAAATAAATAATGAGTAAATGAATTGGAGTAATGAATAAGTGAATAAAATAAATAAATAAATAAATGATGATAAATGATTGAGTAAATGAAAATAAGTGCCCTTTCGCTGCCTCCATCCTCCTCCTCCTCATCCCGGTGCCTCCACTCTCCCTTTTTCTTCCTACTTTTCTTTCTTTTTCTTTCCTCTTCTTCCCAATGCCTTTCTCTTTCCTCCTCCTTCCTCCTCCACTTCTTCCTCCCTCCTCCTCCTCCTTCTCTTCCTCCTCCTCCTCACCTCACCCTTCTCACCCCTCCTCTCTCTCCTCTTCCCCACTCCCCCCTCCCCCTCCCTCTGCCCCGTCTCCCTCTCTCCCTCTCCTCCTCCTTTCCCCTTCCTCACCCTCCCCTCTTACGACGATGACGTCACCATGAACCCCCTGAAATCCCACGGGGGGGGGGGGGAGCACGTGGCCCCAAATCCCACAGATGGTACGAAGGCCCAAGGGGTGGGGGGTGGTGGGGGTTGTACGACTCCTGGGTGGGGGGTGGGTGGGTGGGGGGGAGGCCAGAGGATAGGGGTTAGTGGGGTGGGTGGAAGGGGGGGGGGGGGAGGAGGGGGTCTCTTCTTTCCTAAAAAATTCATTATCGGTTCTTCTTCGTCCATTATTCATCTTTGTTTACAAGTTATAACTAAGAAATAATATAATACAAAAATCAAATAAGATGTAGTGAAAATAGCGACACAACACAGGTGAAAATAACAAAAGTTATTCTATATTCCCCTAATTTACGTT